ACCCACCAAGCCAAATTTGATGAATTTTTTTTATTTAAATACTACAAATCTGTAGAATTCAAATAAAAAAAAGTTCATTGAATTTGGTATAGTGGGTGTTGAGCTATCTTCATTCAATGTTTTATAAATTTCAAACCATTTATTAAAAAGAAGAGCTGCAGCAAAGTTTTTTTTAAACATTGAGCGAAGATATCTCGACACCCATCAAGCCAAATTCAATAAATTTTTTTTTATTAAATTCTACAAATTTGTAGAATTCAAATAAAAAAATGGTTATCAAATTTGGCTTGGTGAGTGTTGACCTATCTTCACTCAATTTTCTAATTATTTATTAAAAAAAGCTGCATCAAAGTTTTTTTTTAAACTTTGAGCGAAGGTATCTCGACATCCACCAAGCCAAATTCAATGAAATTTTTTTTTATTTAAATTCTACAAATCTGTAAAACTCAAATAAAAAAAGTCATCAAATTTGGCTTGGTGGGTGTCAAGCTATATTTGCTCAAAGTTTTAAAAAAATTTAAAACATCTATCAAAAAGAAGAGCTGTAACAAACTTTTTTTTAAACTTTGAGCAAAGGTATCTTGATACTCACCAAGCCAAATTCAATGAACTTTTTTTTATTCAAATCTGTAGAATTTGATTAAAAAAACAGGCATCTAATTTGGCATAGTGGATGTTGAGCTATTTTCACTCAATGTTTTAAAATTTTCAAAATGTCTATTAAAAAGAGCTGTACCAAAGTTTTTTTTTACTTTGAGCGAAGATATCTCAACACCCACAAAGTCAAATTCAATGAATTTTTTTTTATTTAAATTCTACAAATCTGTAGAATTCAAATAAATAAACGTTCATTGAATTTGAAATAGTAGGTGTCGAGCTATCTTCACTCAATATTTTAAAAAATTCAAATCGTATATCAAAAAGAGCTATATCAAAGTTTTTTTTTTAAACTTTGAGCAAAGATATCTCGACACCCACTAGCCAAATTTGATGAATTTCTTTTTTATTTAAATTCTACATATTTGTAGAATTCGAATAAAAAAATGTAGATTGAATTTGGCTTAGTAGATGTCAAGCTATCTTTGCTTAAAGTTTTAAAAAAATTTAAACCATTTATTAAAGGGTATTTCTAGGCATCTCTGGTCAGAGATACCTAATGATAATATATCGAAGCTAAAATGCAAAATAGTCACATGACTGCCATTTTCGCATGGCACAAAGGACGATCTTCACAGATCAGTCTAAAAAAATAAAACAACAACAAAAAGTAAAGAAATATGAAAAATATCAAAAACGGCTATCTAAACCTATTTTGAGATACTAATTAAAAGTGTCAGGAAGGCAATTTTGCTTATATGACTTGCCCTTGCCTAACCCTATATGACTCTAACTCTGATAAAGTTATATGATTAGGCATAGCTTCAGGCCAGAAATATATAAGCTAAATATATCTGACTAGAGATGCATAGAATTTTCCTTTATTAAAAAGAAAAGCTATGCCAAATTTTTTTTAAACTTTGAGCAAAGATTTCTTAACTCCCACCAAGCCAAATTTGATGAATTTTTTTTTATTTAAATTTTACGAATATGTAGAATTTGAATAAAAAAATATAGATTGAATTTGGCTTAGTAGATGTTGAATTATCTTTGCTTAAATTTTAAACAAATTCAAAATGTCTGTCAAAAAGAAGAGTTGCACCAAACTTTTTCTTAAACTTTGAGTAAAGATATCTCAACACCCACTAAGCCAAATTAGATGAACTTTTTTTTATTTAATTTTACAAATCTGTAAAATTTAAATAAAAAATCAGGCATCGAATTTGGCTTGGTGAGTGTCAAGCTATCTTCACTCAAAGTTTTGAAAAATTTAAACTATCTATCAATAAGAATTGCATCTAATTTTTTTTTAAACATTGAGTGAAAATAACTTGACACACACCAAGCCAAATTCACTGAACTTTTTTTTATTAAATTTTATAAATCTGTAGAATTCAAATAAAAAAAACGTTTATTAAATTTGGCTTGGTGAGTGTTTAGCTATCTTCACTCAATGTTCTAAAAAATTCAAAATGTCTATTAAAAAAATCTGACCAAAGTTTTTTTTAAACTTTAAGTAAAGATCCTTAATACCTATCAAGCCAAATTAAATGAACTTTTTTTTATTTAAATTCCACAAATCTGTAGAATTCAAATAAAAAAAATCATTGAATTTGGCTTGGTAGGTGTTGAGTTATCTTTACTAAAGTTTTAAAAATTTCAAAACATCTATCAAAAAGAAGAGCTGTGGCAAAGTTTTTTTTTAAATTTGAAAGAAGATATCTTGACACCTACCAAGCCAAGTTTGATGAAATTTTTTTATTTAAATTTTACAAATTTGTAGAATTCAAATAAAAAATTGGGCATTGAATTTGGCTTGGTGGGTGTCGAGCTATCTTCATTCAATGTTTTAAAAATTTCTAAACATCTATCAAAAAGTAGAGCCACATCAAAGTTTTTTTTTTAACTTTGAGCAAACATATCTCAACACTCACTAAGCCAAATTTGATGAATTTTTTTTTATTTAAATTCTACAAATTTGTAGAATTCAAATGAAAAAATGTTCATTAAATTTGGCTTGGTAGGTGTTGAGCTATCTTCACCCAATATTTTAAAAAATTCAAAACATCTATTAAAAAAAAAAATTACAACAAACTTTTTTTAAACTTTGAGTGAAGATAACTCAACAACTACAAAGCCAAATTTAATAACACTTTTTTATTTGAATTCTACATATTCATAAAATTCGAATAAAAAAAAGTTCATTAAAATTAACTTAGTAGTTGTCAAGATACCATTACAAAAAAGTATAGAATTTTTAATTTAATTATGTATTGATCTATATAAATTAGCCAATTACTGTGACCTGTGACAAATTTGATATAACGGGGAGTAACAAATACATTTTTTCTATATAATATATATATATTATATATTATAATATTATACTTATATATTAGATTATAATTTATATTATATCGGTATATTGTGTAGTATTATAATGTTTTTACTGTATAATTTACTTTTTTAAATATAAAATTTTGATAATACGTCTCAATTCCAGTTGCTGTATAAAAAGTCAAATGTTTTTTTTCATTAAATGTTAAGCATTGCAAAACACCAAATCTTTATTTAAATATATATAGCATATTAAATATATAATCAATAACTAAATAATAGAATAACCTGCGAGTTTATGAAAATGCCACTAAACCTTTTAGAAATATTCTTAGATGTTCTTTAATAATGATCAAGTAGAATCTAAAGATCAATAGAACAATTAATAAAAATATAGCAGAAGATCTTCAAACTAACAAAATATTATAGCTAATCAAGTAAAGATTTTAAATTCCTAAAGATATAGCCAAACAAGTAAGGACTTCAAATACTTGAAGATCAATGAATTAATACTTGAAGAGGTAGTTAGTTTTTCTATTATGACTTCTATTATAATTACATTGGCTAAGATGTTTCTACAAGTAGGCAGTAAACTTAAAAAATTAGAGCTTAATGGAGATAGATGTTATCTTAATCAAGAATTAAAGAAAGTATTTTTAGGTGAGCTAACATAACATTGGAACTTAATAATAATTCAATACAAATTTTATTATTTGGTAAATCATATAATCAATTAATAGAATGTCCGAATGAATACTGAATTCAATTTATAGTTAGTGAATTCTAAAATTCTTCGCAAAAGAATTAACGATTATAATCAATAAGTGTAATTATATTATCAAAAAGCTTATTGGATCCAAAAAAACTATCGAAGAAACTCTATGTAGGAACAGTATTAGATCTTTCACAAAATTATTTTGGCTCAACAGAAAGGGAAGTTTTATCAAGGGTCCTTCAAGTATACAAAACACTATTTTTTTTAGAACTTACCACGTAGTTTCCTTTACTACATTCGATAATGTATAATATTAGAAAATTCAGCATTTGAGTAAATATTAATACGGTCTGAGTATTGGCAATGTTTTAAGAATCAAAGTCAGAAACATAAATAAAAATGATTAAATTAAATTTAAATAGCGTTAGATATCAAATAATTGACGTCACAGTTTAATCTTATTTCACATTTTTGCAAATATATAATTTACTTAGCATATCGATATCGATATCGATAACTCGAGAGTTAATTCAAGTACACATTATCGTATTATATATGTATACATATACCGATAAATTAATCTTTAGGTGAGCGTCATACCGATAATGTAATTTCAATTCGATCGAATGCGCACAAACATCTCCAAATTTAGCATTTATGTAAATTACTACGTAGCAAACATGTTTATTTTCTCAAGCTCGATCAGGGTGCATGAACTATAACGATGAAGTCAAAAACCATTTAAATTCATTTGAATTCAAGCTATAATCATACTAAAATTCATAGCATTAAGGTTCATCACGTTAGATCGATCGATAAATTGATCCTACTTCGAAAAAAAAGATATATAATTTATGATTTTACTTTTCGTTCGTTTTGAAATTTTATAAAACATTTATAAAACAGAATTTTTGCTAACATTAACTAGAGTTTTGAAAATGTAATTTTTTAAATCCGAATTTATAAAAAATTTATAAACCTAAAATAAAATTTCGAATCATTTAAAAAATGTTATGATGACACATCACCCGAATTTAGATAATATTTTTTATTGTACTTTCAAATTTTATTTAAAATTCGTGATTTTAACGTAAATATATATTACATATTAAAACATTTAATATTATAGCGTTTGTGGTACTCATTTTCTCTCAAAATTACAAAATCTTCAGTAAATATAATTCTTATACAGTATAAATAAATAAATAATAAGTTACTATTCATAATAATTTTCTATATATTTTGTTTATTATTATAGTATCGATAAAATTTGGTAATATATATCTAGAATAAATAATGAACATTAAAGTCATCATTTAAAAATGTCAAAAAAAAAAAATTATTATAAATATTATAATGGATTTATTATTGTAGATTCCTTATTTCCAACTATTTTTAGGTATCCCAACTTTATTAATTTTTCGATAGTAGGGTCAGCTTTCCTAACAATCGCTTGAGTTCCTTTTCGAAATTCGACATAGCCATTTTGTGTCATTAAATCACCTAAATATTTTTTATAATTAGTAAAATAATAATAATAATAATAGCATGCTAAAAAGGTTTTTTTAAAATTATAAATGCATTACCGATATCATTAAGTACTCGAACAGCAGTCAAAGCTTCTTTAGGAGGTACTAGAGTAGCTGATAAATTAAGCGAAGGTGGATATTCGCATTTATACTTTCTCAACAAATCACTATATTTTGAATGGAAAATTCTCTCTCTTTCAGATAATTTTAATCTCGTTTCTTGAGACAGTGGTAATTCTTGAATTGCAATAAATTTGATTTTTTCGGATCTTTGAGAATGATAAAGTTTTAAAACTTTTAGATCATGATTTTGAACTAGTTGAATTAATAATTTTGATTCTATAATTTAAGAATTAAAAAATTTGAGAAACGTTATAAGAGAAAATATTTTTTTTTATAGAGAAACGAGATTAAAAACATTAATCACCATAATCAGAACTGTTTATGCTATCAAGACCTTGATCGTTTAAAGATTCAAGGTGTTCTTGTAGAATGCTTATTTCATCAAGAATTTCACGAACTTTTTCTCCTTCATAAAGTGAAACACTTTGAGTTTTTCTTGTACGTTTTGCTGTATCGATCAATGGAACTGCAGTTTCACCGAACATTCTATGCTACTGAAATGAGACTCTTGAGTATATACGTTTGACGCGATTATGGTAATATCAAAACGCGTTATGCTATGTAGACATTGGATAATAATTATTATCATGTGATTTATATGATAAAAATTTTCACCCAATAAAATTTCTAATCAAAAAAATTTTCTCGATAACCGATTCAACTTTTTTTTTTTTACTTACATTCAAATTTAATTTAACAGTAAAATGGATAATTCCACTCTTTATAGCAGTGAAGATTTGAATTGGTGAGATTATTTATCGCACGTTTGTAATAGTTATAATAGATCAATTATATATTTATATGTATAATTAGGCTTCTTATCAGAAACTATAACTCGTTTTTGGTAAAACGTAATGGCGCACAATTTTCTTCCGAACCTAATAATTTGACAAACTTGCATTCTTTCAAATATTCAGGACTTGCTTGTAACAAGGTATGAGTAATATATTTGAATGTTCCAATAATCGATGAAATGTTTAAATGATAACTTATAATGTATAATTTAAAAAGACAATTGGTATAAGTCCCGCACCTGATAATAGAGGTGTGATTGTAAACGCAAGAAAGAGCAAAGTTGAATCTTTTCAGCCGGCAAAATCTACTCACAAAGTCACCCTTTCAAAGGGTACTCGTAGATCAGCCAAAAGTTTCACCAACACTTTTACTCGCGCTGGATATCGCCCTGATTTACGCAAGGTTTGATAGAATTTTTTTTCTTTTTTTTAATTAATCTAATAATTCATATTTTTATAATCGTCAGAAAAATATAAAATAATGACAAAATGATGAGAGTACTCGCAATATTGCTAGAGCCCATTAAAATTGTTATTAATTTATGAAAAATGGGTGTAAATTTTAAATTGCTATAATGAACGTTCCTGTAGATGATTATCATCATATCTAGTCATATGAAGTGACTTTATGATTTTCAGGCTTTGGATACATGTGAATACATACAATAATTGACTTTGAATATTTATTAAATTTTTAATTTTTCTTACACATTTATAGGAGGCTCTAGCTCGTATTTCGGCTATATATCAAACTCAAAGACCAATTAAGGTTCATGCAAGGAAAACTGGCCGTCGTCACGTCACAAAACAAAAATAAAAAGATAGCTACCGAATTGTCTATCTATCTCTTAAACACTAAATAAAGTTGATCACTTTTTTTTTCAATTACCATTACTAAAAATCAAATCAAGTGATT